CGTGATGAATTTCGTTCTGATTTTCTGTGTTACTTACAATAATTGAAGCTGAATCATGACCCTTGTATATGTATTTATATAAATATTTTACAGATTTGATGCTAGAAACAATTTCTACGTTAATATGACATGCAAATTTTTTCAATAAATAAGTATTGTAAGGAACGACGAATGCATTATCAGTCATCTGCCCATTAGAACGTTCATAAGTACCGGTATTTCTTCGACGATATGTAGGATATCCATTTTCATCCATTGAAGTATTTTCTTGATACTTTTTTGGAAATTTTTTTGTGCATTTGCCTTTCTCATTTTTACACCAATTACCACATGGTCCATGAATCATGTCTTTCAAAACAATATTGTAAAGGATTGGGTCTGTTTCTCTATCGGGAATTTCTGCAGAAATGTATCTATCAACAGCATCAGGAGTAACAATTTTATTATTCTGTTTCAAATTTACCAACAGATGCATGTGTGGTAATCCACGTTTTTGGTATTCAATCACGTATACATATGCGCATACTTTGCCGAATAAGTTTTTTTTAATAACATCTTTAATGAGCTCGTCTTTTTTTATATCAAAAACTCGTGAAACAATATCTGGCCTATCAGACGCCGTTTGTCCAGGCAATAAATTTTCTTTTATTTCAGTCCAATTAGGATTGCAGGTCATAGTGATAAATAAATCCGGTTTACCAAACTTCCTTACAATAGCCATTGCATCTTGATAGTTCTGTAACATATTACGTGGCGAGCCTGTGAATGTTGATGGAAGGATTATCATTTTACCTACTTGGCAATTAGAACCATTCGCGCGTTGTTGTAGATGATCTACCAAGCCTTGATATGTATCACTGCGTAGAGTTTTCTGATTTTGCTTGCAATAGTTTAACCTATCTTTCTCAATTTTAACGTAACTATCGACAACCCATTGTTGAAATAATCGTCCTCCTTTTAAGATTATATTATCGTCTCTATCAGCCATTCGATATTTAGTATATGCTGCTCGTGATACTCTTTTAGCTCTATTCACGCAAGGTAAATTTTTATTCCAACCCTGGGTACCATGGGGATAAAACAAAGGGTAAATCCATGGTTCAACGTTAGGATCCATAGAATTGACAAATTGAAGTTCTTTTGTACATTTATTACGAACTGAAACATAAGATTCTGGAATATCACCATCAGCGGCAGTAGTAAAAATGGCAGCTACCTCATTAATTCTTTGTAAATTGTATCGTCTTCGATCGATTCCGGGTTTGAGTGAAAATATCAATTGCATTTCGGGTTCCTCGTCTGTGTTCACGTTTCTCATAGATTGGAGTTCTTCATGCATCATTCGATAAGACTGAGCAAATAAATTACACTGACGAAGGGAATTATCTATCTCCTCAACGACTTCACGATTCAGTGTAGACATCAAATTGCATCGTACATCTGTAGCCTCATCTGGATCAATTATGAATAGTTGACCGTAGCATGGAGTTTCATTAGCTTCGGGGTAGAGACTTTTATTAAATTGATAATATACTTGCCCATGGAGTTTGAAACAAACTGGGCCTGGACGTTGATCAGAGAAATTTACTAAATTAGCATTAAACGATGCGAATGCAAATGAATTATTATAACAACGTATACGTTCACGGAAATGTTTTGATTGTTCGTGAGTACCATTGAAAAGATCTCGTAGAATAAGTGGTGGATTTGGCAAAGGTTCGAGAGCAACTTCGCCGTGGCTACAACAATCATTAAAAGAATCTTTTCGAACTTTTTCAGCATCAAAATGTTTAGCACGACAATGACGACATACAACGTTCATTGGACCAATGTAGTGTTCTTTGATATCTTGTCCTGTAGTATCACAAATGATATTCGATCGACTCCTCCCTGACAAATGAGAATCATAATTGTTAGACGTAGCATCTATGGTGGGAAGGTGGGTATCAGAGCGGTCTATATTCAAATGGACCGGAATTGTCATTCCTGGCATATCATTATTATTATGATTCTCTTCATGAGAAATATGATATTCAGGTGCACATTGGTGACCATCTTTAGAAGGTTCATCGATTGTCAATTCTAAGCAAGTATCAAGTTGATGAATGACGTTTGAATTGTGTTGTTGATTTCGACGTTTCGCACGATACTCATGCCGATATGCTGCATTTTTTTTACGTCGTATTCTCTGCCTTTCTTTTTCTTCATTAGATATTTGCTGAATAATTGGTCTATCATCATGGGTTTGTTCATGAAACAGCTCATTTTCATTTCGTTTTTGATGAACATCAATATCAGGTTGGATTACAGAGATTTCAGGAAACCTATTGGATTTTAAGAGCGAGTGATTCAAATCTTGACGTTGATGATTACATGTGGTACCGCTGATCGTGGGAAGATTACTATCAATATTGGACATTTGAACTGGATGTTCGATTCCTGTGAGTGTTTGATTATTATTATTCCCTTCATGAGAAATATTATGTTCAATTGCATTTTGATCAATATCTCCAGAAGTTTGGTTAATTATTGGGTCAACGCAAAAATCAACATGATGAACTATACGATTTGAATTGTGTTGTTGATTCCGACGTTTCGCACGATATTCGCGTTGATATGCAGCATTCTTCTCACGTCGGATTCTCTGTCTTTCTTGTTCTTCATTTGATCTCCATTGAATGAAAGGTTTACTATCGTGGGTTTGTTCGTGAAATATCTCATTCCGATGGTCATTAATTTGGATTATCGACATTTCAGAAGACATGTTGGATTTGAGAAGAGAGCGATTCGAATTTTGATATTGATGATTGGTACATGTGGTAGAGGTTGTGGAAAGATTGGTATTAATTGGAACTGGAATGCCAACTTCTGCGACAGTATTATTTTGTTTTTCTTTTTGATGATCAGCATCATGTTCAACTTCATTTTGATTAATATTACCCGAAAGTTGATGCATTAAAACGTGATTTGAATAACGCTGTTGATTTCGACATGCTGCACGGTATTTACGCTGATATGCAGCATTTCTGTTACGCCTTACCTTTTGAAACTCTTCTTGTTCTTCCTTTGTCCGCTGGATTGTTTTTCTAGGCATGTTTATGTTTTAAACAATTAAATTGGAAATACAGAAATGAATAAATAGTACGGTCTATTCACTTTGATTTTTTTTTTTTTTTGTTTTTTCAATATGTACAACTATAATTTACTGACAATTAACAATAATGTTTGGATTCAAATGGTATGAAACAATTGGTCAATATTGTAGACTTTGAAGGTATTCGGATAATCATTCGGTTTTACGGTAATGTTTTCTGTTCGTTTCAGTAGGTAAATTTTCTGTGGTATTCTTGATATAATATTCTGGTTATTTAAATTTTTTCTTGAATTTCAGTGCAGATATAATTATTGGTATACAGGTCAAATTCTTTACGGTAGTTCAATTTGTAGACTCCCACTGAAAAGAAAAAAAAAATAATTTGGATTTTTCAATTTGTTTCGATTTATGATGACAAACAAACAATTGAAAAGTAGTTGAATAATACACTCACGATTTTGTTTGTAAGGTCAGTGTCTTAGTGAATCTGCCCTTTAATACGAAACCTCTCGTCTAAAGCCAACAAAAGTTATCCACAAATAATTTACAGGTAGCCGCCACAAAGCAAAACTGAAAAGAAAACAGATGATCGAAAAAATATCCTATCTATAAAAGGCAATCGAACGGAGCGACGCGAGGTTAGAATCGCGCTTTTTACGCCCCCCGGTGCATTAAAAGTCATTGGTAAGGATATATTTGTTATTAAGACCCGAGTGGACGATGTCACATACATAGTGATGTATGACAACATGACAAATACATTAAAATTTGGCATCAATTTTGTGTTCCCGAAACTACTTGAATGAACATAACAAAATCATTAAAAAAAAGGAAAAAAATTATTGAAGGGCGCTAAAGAGCAATATTTATTGAAAAGGATCTACCATGTTTACTAAAAAATAATAAAAAATATGTAATACATACCAAACCCTCCACTGAATTGAATGACATCTAGAGACAATAATATCCTACTTATTTTTTATTATTTTTTTAACAACCTTGGTAGATTCTTTTCAATCAATAACGCTCTTTATCGCCCTTCAATAATTTTTACTCTTTTTTTTCATTATTTTCATTGTTTTTTCATATGCATTCAAGTACTGCCCGCAACATACATTTAGTCCCAAATTTTCATGTATTTGAGGTTAAAAAGATGAAATTTAAATAAAAGATGGTGTTGGATAGATAGTCCACCCGGCCCTTGAACAAAAAAAAATCCTATAAAAAAATTCCTATAAAAAATGATCGAATCAAGAAAAAACGGAATTGTGTGTTATTTAGATTGAATTCAAAGAATCCCATTTCCATTCCAATAATTCTCTCTATTTGAGAATAGAAAACTAAGAACACATTATGATTGAGGTGCTCTTATTTTTGTAATGTTTTTGTAAATATTTAAGGTTAAACATGATAATAATATCATCAATGGATAAATACTCACCTCAATTCAATTTATTGGCACACACCGAATATACATTTCATATTAGAAAAGAAACTCAGGTATAAAATGTATTTGCCACAATCACTGGATGACGATAATTATTTTAGAACGGTTACCGTTGCTGCATATATAAATAAACTTCATCTATAAATCATATATAAATTATATAAATATGATAAACTTCAGAGTACTTCCACACATGCATGACATCAAGAAGGGGGAGGGGAGATCGAGCTTCTTGCTTTGACCGCAAAATAGGAGGGCGTAAAGTCACCACTCGGGAAAAAATTCCCTCCATCGGGCCTTACGCCCACCGTGCATGCGCAACTGTATTTAGTAAAATATGTATGCAAAAAAATCAAGTTTTTAATTTTTATTAATAAAACTATAGTCTCTAAAATTATGCAACTTGTGTTCAATAAACATTAAACAGGAGTGGGACGGATTTTGAAAAGAAAAAAAAAATAATTTTCCAACAATTATAATTGACATTGCAACATATGTTATGAATTATCAATAAACATTAACTCGAATACATCATTTGTATCACTTATCTGTGATTCCGATGGGCTTCGTCTATTTTAATAATAAAATAAATTAGTGTCGAGCTTTCTCTTTTACGTATAAAAAATATAAATGTTTCGGTAATACTTTTCTTCAAAAACATGGCAACGTATTGAAACAAACTCTGAATAAATACTAATGTTAATGCATAGATCCCACAATATCTTACCTATACAGAAATATTTCTCATGTATACCATGCAAGTTAGAAATAAAACTGAATAGCTTGTGAACGCTTACTTAATCGACTTTTTGGAGTTTATCACTTTTTTTTAACTATGCGTTATGATTCGAGACTACACATTCTCTTCGATTATTCAAGTCTTTCCATGAGCATTATCATTAATGATATTGGGTTTAAGAACGATGTAACTTAACATGTAATTTCAACCAATTATAATAATTGCAGCTTCTACATTATGTTTATATAAACGAATTAAAAATTGCATTAATTTTTTCTCAATTAAATTATGAGAAGTCTTCAAAACGAAACGAAAAGAAAAAGAAAATCATTAAGCACCTGCAAATTATTATAATTTCATATTTTTTTCTTAATTAGAACGAAACAGTTATCACTCTTACTGCTATGAATTTTGCAGTATTTAAATATAAAAAAAAAAATCAGACTCTTAGATCAATCAAACTTCATGATGTCTTAATCTTGATTATTGAAAATAAGTTTGTGATGCACATTATGCATATAAACATAAAATCGAGAATATTATTACTATTGATTCTTTCCTGATCTAATGTTTGATTGAAATATATAAATTTAAGTCTTGTTATAAGAATCATCGCTAATGACATTGAGTGTACATTGAACAAAATCAAAATTTAATATCAATGAATTATAATAATTGCAGTTTCTATATTGTGATGAACTAAACGAACTAAAACTTGGATTAATTTTTTCTCAAATATTTTTTTCTCAATCAGAACGAAACAGTTATCAGTCTTACTGCTATGAATTTTGCAGTATTTAAATATAAAAAATCAGACTCTTAGATCAATCAAACTTCATGATGTCTTAATCTTGATTATTGAAAATAAGTTTGTCATGCACATTATGCATATAAACATAAAATCGAGAATATTATAACTATTGATTCTTTCCTGATCTAATGTTTGATTGAAATATATAAATTTAAGTCTTGTCATAACAATCATAGCTAATGACATTGAGTTTACATTAAACAAAATCAAAATTTAATTTCAATGAATTATAATAATTGCAGTTTCTATATTGTGATGAAATAAACGAACTAAAACTTGGATTAATTTTTTCTCAATCGTGAGAAATCCTCAAAAAAAAGGAAAAAAAGGAAATGATCGAAAAACTGCAAATTATTATAATTCCATCTCTTTTTTTAGGTAAAACTAAATGAGTGTCAACCTTACTGCTATGAATTTGACAATATTTAAAAGTAAAAATGACAATATTTAAAAGTAAAAAATCAGATTTTTAAATAACTGAAACTTCTCAATGTTTCAAACGAATAACCGATGAATGTTGCTTCTGATCTGATTTTTTAAATTTTGTCATCTCTTTGTTTTTTAGAACTTCTACATAAAAAAGTAACAGTATTAAACTTCTCAATTCTAGAAAAAATTCTCAATTTTGCAATTGAAATTAAATAGCAAAGAGCATGCAATTGAAGCTAATCACCTTTAAGTTTCTGAAACAAAAAAGATTAACTGTTAGTTTTAATTGTTTAATGAATGATGCAATGTATTTTCATTTATATTTCCATAGAAATAATTTTTTATTAATGTTCTAATGAAAATATTATATTGAATTCTGCTTGAAAAGACGCCAAAATTATATGAAAATATTGCAATATTCTCTTGCATCGAAGGGAGAATGATGAAAAATTGACAGTAATCAAATTTGGATAACCATTGATAAAATAGTACCTTATACTCGATGTCCATCGCCGCTCCGTGTGCAGATTCAGCTGCTTCTCGTTTCAGAATCAGTGGAGGTGCTTCGACAGCATCATCTAACTCATCTTCAGTTAGGACTACATCCTCAGACAGGACTGTGATATCATTCATGCTGTTGATATTCATAATAAAAGCATCTCCACGACGATCAACTCTACCTTTAACTTCCATTTTGATTCCCTCGACTAAATCTTCTCTTGGGATGAATGTTATCACATGAATGGTCATGCGATGAATTCTTGTGCAGAACATTCCACATCCATAACTGGAACCGTTTACCGTGGTAATGCTTCTGAATGGCTCTTTGAGCCATCCAGTGATCTGGACTGGCCCGCGAGCAGCACAAACATTCTTCATTTCAATTCTTTCATATGAGATTACCTCCGGTCTTCCAGTCTCAGCTCCATTCGTAATGTCGAATGTACCAATAACGTCTAAAGTACTCCCACGTCCAAATTGAAATTCTTTGTCGCTTACAGTATCAGTTGATCGTCGATACTGTGGATTGGCCGCTTTAATAATACCTCCAGTGATTTTTAATATCTATATAGAAAAATTTCACATTTTTCATTTATTCTCATATCATAGATATTCATACAGATATTCATATTTTTTCAAACACAGAAAACTGAACTGGGCATTTATATTATTTATTCGTTTATATTTTTTAAACAAAAAATATCTTACTGATTTTTTTCAGCAGTAATCAAAAAGTTGTTGTTTCTCTCTCAATTTTTGTTTCTCATGAAATCATTATTACAACTAATTAAAAATTCCACGAAAAATGTTATTACTTCTCATCGAAAATGAACAAAAATTCATTTAGATTATTTATTTAGGATGAAAAAAATCCAGTTCTAATTTTTGCTTTGATAATTTCATTTTTTTCTTTTTGAATGGAAACAACTGTACCTGATACATCTTTATTACATCATTGTATTTGAGAGCGTCATCCCCCCAGCAAAGTATGCGAACCCTTCTGCCATCATTGTTATTTAAAATGCACTTGTATATCCACTTAGATGGTGACTTTGGCAGCTCCTTCAATCCTTCAATACAGTCAACGTATCCGATGATTTTCCTAAGAAAAAAAAATGGAATTATTCACTCTGAACACGTGTCAATGAAAGGTTATGATCCTTGAATCTATAATAAATTTTGTAAATATGTCCATTTTTCAAAAATATACTTACATGAGCGTAGCTCCAACATTGAAATTATCAATTGCTCTGTTAGTTGTGTATTTAACACTTGGAGATGGCATGATGTTTCACGATTAAAAAAACACTCAAACGCATTACCAAATTTGATGACTTTTAACTTTTAACGGTCTTTTCATTCCAGTGTGGGACTGATATGATCGACAGATGTCGCTTCGGTTTTTATCTTACCCTTACGCATTTTCGAGATATTTCTTCGATTAATATCGATATCGATTCGTACATGGCTCTCCTTTTTAATAATGGAATCTCTCGCACTCAATTTCCCTTGCGAAGACATTTCACAAGTATTTTCCAAAGATGAGAGAACTGAATTTAGATTTACTGGATTTTCCATTAAC